GCTTATAAAAGTGCTGGTCTTACGAAGTTGTTTGATATATACAGACTTCCTGACCACATCCTTTAGAACTTCATGTCACAAGGAACTACTTAAATTCTCTTCTAAGTCTGCAGAGTTTTGAGAACTCTTATAACTGACATTTGAGGAGGTATTAAGCAGCTTATGAACATTAGTATAAGTACAGGTGAAGTTCTTCCTGCTCTTCATGTTATGCATTTTGATTCCGAGACCATAGGCACATTAGGGAGCACAACTCAGATAACATGTAAATGCATTTTGACAAGACCATAGTAAGCGGCATCCCGCTATGTCTGTCTGTTGATGACGTGGACACCACTGGCCAAACAGATTCCTTCTTTGCCATACAGCTTCTTTTGTGCTCCCAAGATGATTTGGAGGATTGGAGAGCCCGGTACAAGATATTTAGGGGACAGAACTTTGGAAATGTGATGTTCTGTACATGCAGCATTAAATATCCCCATATACTTTGAAGACTATACTAGCATGAGGCAATAAGAGGCAGATTCTGTGTTCTGTCACTTAATATTGATTAAGCAGAATATCACTGTCAAAGTTACATAGACACAAATGAAATAATGGTCCATATAGATGGAGATCTTTTCTAAAGTTTTTCCCCCAGACTATTTCATTGATTATACCTTTCTGGAAGTGTATTACTGGAATTTTCTTCTTTATAGGTACAATATTTAACTGTTACTGTAGGTGTTGCAAAACAATGCTGATTTGCAACAGGGTGTAGACAGCTACAGCCACCATATGCAATGTTGTTCAATGTTAATGCAATTGGTTTTAGTGCCAAGACACCCAAAGTAGTTAACACCATTTTGTTTCCATCACTGCAAAATGCCAGTGTGATTCCAGCCTTTGTTGGCAGTTCAGCTGATCTGCCAGATGGAGCAGAACTGTCTCCACCTCACTGATGATTTTTTGTGTGTACGTGGTCACCCTGGAAGTTTAGTGCCTCTGAAGACCCAGTAGAAATAATGTGCATAATCCTGTCCAAGGTTAGGCATGTAGAACCCTGTGATCTTTGGACAATTGTCTTTGTGACAGAAGAGCAAATCCCCAATGGTAGTAGAAGAGTTCCCATGCTGTCTTCACATGCTGCTTCCATATGATTTTTCTACTTTGTATCACACCTTCTTTTCATAATCTGTTATGATAAATAACATCATGCTCGCAATTGACCCCTCTTTGTTGAGGATCAGGATATGTATTTTAGCTTGGGACAGGTTTTAGCAGGCACCAATGGGTCAAGAATGTGTAATAATAACCACTTCAGAATAATAGCTGTCTAACCTAAACTAACACAAGTCAGGAAATTCTAATTCAGAAATGGGAGTCTGTTTGAACTTGGAGTTTCTTTGGTTTCTGCCAGAGTAAGTCTCCTTGTTGTTCTGTTTTAATTTCATTTAAAAGGCTCAGTTAATAGACTTGTAAAAATACACATTTTTCCAGAGAGCTTGTAATATATCTTAATTTGGGGGAAATTATTAAGCGCACCCATTTATAAGCCAGCAGATTTTGTTTCATTAAAGGCTGCAACACCTACTTTCCTATCTGCAGTAGAATGTGTAATTAGTTGTGATGGGGTGTGCGCGCTGCACAGTGACAAAAGATTACATGAGGGTGGGGCCAGGAGGAAGGAGTATTCCACAAGTAAAACTTAAATAACATTTCCGCACAAAATGCAGCTGGACCACACGGTGTTTATAGACTAATCATCTGTTAAATTCAAGGTTGTTAAAATTGGAAGCTGTGTAATTTATAAGAGCACAAAGCAACTATAACTACCTTTTTTTCTTCCTTTAGTCTAGTAACTGAAATGGTGCAATTGATTTCTCTTTTGCAGATGCATACCTTTTGGGGGGTTGGGGTGGAGTGGCAGTATTAAACTTCACTTCGGGGCTTGAGACCTCATAAGCCCATATTTCAAGCTGCAGTGAATTTTTATAGCCAAGTTATAAATCCCTGGAAAAATATGCCTTTTTATAACTAACTGTGACAGAACTTTAACTACTGATGCATGAATACCAGTATGGCTACAGTCCAGTTTATTATAGTTGGTGGGTAAGGCTCTAGTCTGTTGAAAGACTCAGTCAATTCCAGATTTTAGTTGTTTGAATTTTGCTTTAGAATTAAGCTTTCTCTTGTTTTTGTGAGTTTCCCCCTCCCAAATTTAATTATTTTTATCAGTCTCTTAATATTGGCATCAGGCTACTTAGTCTGTGTATTCCAGAAATGAAGCATGTACTGTATACAGCTGTTCTTTTGATAGTTTGCATATCTTGATTTTACTGTATAATGTGACTTGCTTTTAGCAGATTAGAAGTAGGACAGCATTTGAACCAGTGGCTTAAATAAAAAGTACTCCCCCCCTTTTTTTTAACAAATGTTTCTTGGTTTGGTCCTCACAGCTAGCAGGAGTGTAATAAAAATTGATGTTCATCTTCTAGGAGTGCATTCCCCCCCTCCATTATAAATTCAAAGTTAAGTGTTGCTCCTGTGATGAAGAAACGGTTCTTTGGAGGATTCACCAGTCCTCTGGAGCAGGGGTTGTGAGGCATGGAGACAGCAGTGCAACTTCCAATTCCATTGATAGAAGCAGTTCTTGTCAGCTGATGTTGTCAACTGGATTTAGGCCCTTACTGCCAAAGACTTGAACAACTGGGGGAAGAACATCCTCTCTCGTTATAATTTCTGAAGATTTCTAGATTTCTTTTGAACTGCCTTTCCCTCCTGAACTAATGGGTATATTCAGTCATCCTTCCACCCTCATTTGCTACGCTCAAGTGATAAAATTTCAAATATTGTAGCCTTCTCTTGGCACTAGTGCAGAATAGGGAAAATCTAGAGGCACACATCAATTATCTTTACATTAAGATATTTCACTTCCTTTACCACATGCAATAGCTTGCTATTCTTCAGTACTGTACTGAGTTCCACAATGTTATTTGAGGTTTTGTGACTTTTGCCTTTTCACATCTGCCCCCAGAAAAACCTTAATTAACACATGCAGTGCTGTACATGTCTGTTTAGAAATAGCTTCCACTGTCCAGAATCCTACCAGGATGGCATAGCGTAAACGGGCAACTGTGCAAGCAAATACTCTATGTGGAAATGGACCTTTGCTTTGCTTCCCATCCTCCTCTAGTTGATAAACAGCCATGTGTCCTGTCAGGTACCTGGCTGATTGGCATATGGTAAGAAAGAAGGGAAAACTGCTTGCATGATTACTTTTATGAAATAGTTTTCCTCAAGAGGACTTTGACTATTGAGTTCACTGGCGCTTACTCCCAGGTGAATGGATGTAGAATTGCATCCTTGGTGGCTCCAGCTCTTTACTTCAAGCAGTCTGAAAGCCACTTCATCAGGAGTTAGAGTACAACTGCTTCTTATGCTTAAAGCCAGGATTGAGCAAAACAATAAATCTCAGTCAACTACTTGTAGACATCTTGAGTAATTCACCATGGAATGCTAAGGATTTCTTACTTCTAATATTTAAGCCATAACAACAACAAGATGACCCCTGCCAAAATTATATTATTGAAATAAAGAAAGTGCCAAGTAACCAGGATTAGATTTTTATGTGTTTGGATTCTCAGATCTATTCTGTTCTGATACTGTGGGGTCCAAGGTGGGATAAGGGAGAACTTAGATCCTGCAAGTATAAATTCCATCCACTCCTCCTTAAAGTAAACCGAACAGTAAGATTTACAGCAGTTTTGAGTTTACAGGAGCTGAGCAGGTCTGTTGAGGATAGGACATTTTAGAGGTTGCTGATTCATTAGGTCGCCATAAGTGAGAGATGATTTGATGGCATATAACAACACAACAACAACAACAGAGCATGTAAGATTGTAGCCCAACTGCCTCCCTGGTTTGGGCTAAACTTTTTAAAGTGAGACAGATTTAGGGTTTGTGTACACTTCTTAGGATCCTACTGCTCTAGAGTGTGAACTAAAGCCATTTTAAAATGGTGCATATTATATAATTTGGAGTAGCTAAGTTATGGTTTTTATATTTCAGTTCGGTTTTAGTGTGGTTAAAGGCCAAAGGGAACAGGCTCTTGCTGGCATTTAATAGTAGGATAGAAAGGGAGATTTTAGTAGGTGTCACTTTTGTTTGCCACAGCTGTTAAAATCCCCCCTTCTATAGAATTATGGGAAGAACAGCTTTGTCCTAATTCCATCTGATAACCCAAACTTAATCCAGTATTGAATCTAGTTCATATCATACCTTGCTCACCCCACATGCATGTATGTCCTTGGATTGCTTTCTAAACTCATATCCTAAACTGAGGAGAAAGAGTGCTGAGCAACCTTTTAGGATTGTTGTAAAGGCAAGAGGAACTGTTACAGATAAACTGAAAGCAAGAGCCAACATGATTGTTCTGCTCCTTTTTAGAAGCCTTTTGTTGCTGCTAGGGGAGATGAATACTTCAGTAAATGTTTTTAGTCTTAAAGCATGACACTATCACCAATCAAAAGTTTCATATTCTGAATGACAAACCAGGCAATTCTTCAAGTCTAGTCTGGCTTGTAATGCTGATATTTAAAACCCTGTGAAAAAATCTGCTTTTTTCTTCATTTCTCTTTGAGGTGTACATGGGCTCCTTTGTTAACCTCTCTCTTTCTCTCAGTCTCTCTCCCTCCCTCCACACCCCCCCCCCAATACTGAACATCAGGTGAGGCAGTGCTTAACTGTGTTGTCTGGTACCAGTATGATTGATGCTTCAGGTGAATGTAGGTAGGAACAGACATGTTTATGTGGCCTCATGGATTATTACAGCTGTACAGAGTGCCTTATCTTATTTACTGTCCCTGTAGGTCTCTTTTGTCTGTAGACCACCTTGTAGGCTTTCAGTGCCAGCAAGCAGTCTGTGTATCATACTGATGAGTAATGGTGGCATGAAATTTCTTGGAACAGAAGGCTGGTATTCAGTGATCACCAATTAACATTTCACTTCCGATTTGCAGGAATTGGGTAGCCTTGGTGCATTAGGTGCAACTTCTGCGCTATGGGAAAGAGAAACAAGAGGACAGCAGATAGTTCGTCCTCTGAAGATGAGGAGGAATATGTTGTGGAGAAGGTTCTAGACAGGCGTGTTGTGAAGGGTCAAGTGGAGTATCTTCTCAAGTGGAAAGGATTCTCTGAGTAAGTCCAACTTTCCTTCTGATGTGGGCTTTGAGCTTTCTTGGTAGCAGAGCTCCAGGCAGTGCTTCCAATTTGACCTCCATTGCACTCATTCAAGTTTTCCTTAAAAAAATAATAAAAAGCCCAAGCCACCAAACTTCATGGGTGGTAGCTTGTTTCCTTATTCCAGACAAGAATGGTGTGCATCCATTTAAATGAGTGGGTCACAAGGCCTGGGACCTTAAAGCATGTTTGGAAATCCTGGCATCTGCGTTCCCTCTCTCACTTCACAGAGTTGGTAGTTCCACTTGAGTTATTCACCAGCACTATTGTCTGAATAGTCTTCCTCCTTGTTTTGAGCTTTTTGGTGGCAGGGGCTTTTTTGTGAAGTACTCTGGTGGCCCTTCTGTAGGTTGTTCGAAACAGCCGCATCAGGAAAAAAAGAGAGAACTCCCTACCTTCCATAAAGGGCTGTATTAATTCTCCAGCTGTACAGACACAGAATTTTGGTATTGGGTGTGAAATTGAGCATCTAAAACACTTTCCACTTAAAAAAAAGACCCAACAACATTTTAGCCCTTAAGGCTGTTAAGATAAGCTTGAACGTTGTGGGCAACACAGTAAAATATGCAAAGCCAAAATGGTTGAACAAAATGTCCAGGGATCAAATGATAGGATTCAAACTTGATGTAGCATTTTTATTTTATTTATATGTTATAACACGTTATACACAACCCTCCTCATTTGTCCCAATATAAAATAGTTACCTGCATGTGTTTTTTTTTCTCCATGAACTTGTGTCTGTATGTATATGTCTCTTGAGTGTTTGTCCCAGGTTCTGGTAGACTGCTTTACAATGCCATTGAGTATGACCATGATTCATTATCAATAAAATTTAGCTTTGAAGCTGCAATGTTTAAATGGATGCACACTGCTTGGTTTCTGGGAATACTGGTTACCAAGCAAGACACTTGGCCCTGTCCTGCTCTTCAACAATGGAAAGGGCATGTCTGCATAACCTTCCTGAGCACCACAGCAAAAGACAGGAGCCTTCTGAGTTCTTTAGCTTTCAGAGATTCAGTTATCAAAAGGATTCAGTGTCCTACCTTTACGAATATCTGTTGGAAGCTATGTATTTTATATTTCCAAAGGAATAGTCATTGCTTCTTCTGTATTTCCCAGTATGCTTTGATGTAGCCTGTGAATAGACTGAACAAACCCAATTAATCTGCAAATACCTCCCCACTCCTTGTACCCCATTTTACCCCTCTGTTCTTTTTTTTAAATGAATATCAAACTGGAAGAAAGTTCTTTGAAACTCAAAAGCTAGCTTACCACATTGTGCATGTTTTTAGTTTGCCCTAAGAAAGTGTCACACAGTGTTCATATTAAGTGGAGTTACTATCCCAGACAGTATTCTCAGGGGGGCTTATGTAGAAGGCATGAGCATCTTCTCAGAAATAAATTTTTTGTATTTTAAACATTCATGCAACCATGCAGTGTAGGTGGTTTCTCTAAACATATGTGGTTGTATGGTAGTTCCTTTACTAACCATAAATACTGTTTCTGCTATTCCATTTGGGAAAATCATTCCTTTAACTAAAGGAAACAGATTGTTAGTGACCAGGCTTTCACAAGAATTGAGATGGCAAGAAGACACATTTCTAAACTGTTTAGAAAGCCCAATAGATTGTGTGCTTGAAATCCCACTGTGGCTGAAACCATCCCCAGTTTGCCACTGAACTGCACCTAAAGCACTGAGAAATGGGGAAAAAACTTGTTCAGAGTATATGAGCAGGAAAACCAACGTTGTTGCGTTGGTTTCAAAAAGCCCCTGCCTTACCTAAGAACCCCAAACAAATCTTTCCATGGACAGATTTCCATGGACCTTTGTTACATGGCAGTTCTTCACTTACTTCTCAGTTAATGCCTCAGTCAGTGGAGAGGAACATTTTCAACTTTTCTTCTGTTTGTTATTTCCCACCCCTGTTGTTGCCCTTTTTTCCAAATTGTGTCAGGGAGCACAATACCTGGGAACCTGAGAAGAACCTTGACTGCCCTGAACTGATTTCTGAGTTTATGAAAAAATACAAAAAAATGAAGGAAGGCGAAAACAAGCCTCGGGAGAAATCGGAGAGCACTAAGCGGAAGTCCAGCCTTGCCAACAATACTGAGGACATCAAAGCCAAAAAGAAGAAAGAGGTGAGCTTTCTGTCTTTCAATTTATACTTGCAGAGTTCTTTCTCTATACCAGCAGTAAACTACAAAGGCTGTGTGTGTGGGGGGGGAGGTTTACACTGGTGGCACTTGTTTCTTTGCAGTCAAGTGGCACGGAAAAGTTTTCAAAAATTTTCATGTCAGGAAGGTGTTGGCTGAGCTTAATTTGTGTCAACTTTCTCACTCTTCTCAGGGAAAACTACCCTGTAAAACAAAATGAGCTAATTGTCACCACTTATTGTAGAGAAAAGAACAGTGAAATAATTATGGTCCTTAAAATACAATAAAGATTAACAATCAAGCAGGGAGCTTCTTAGTACTATCTAGCTTAGATTAAGATATGAAGAAATGCAATTTGCCATTTGAAAGCCTTGCTAAGGTAGGGCTCCTTTTAAAGCACTTTTTGAGTTGTGATAATAAGGAAGCCCTCATCAGAAAAGGGAGATGCTCTTCTTTTTCTGTTCTTTGTCTGAATTCTCTGTCCCTTTTTTGTGTGTGAGAGAGAAATTGCCCTGAACACCATTACAAGAATTACCTTTAAGAATACTCTGCTAGCAATGTGTTCTGCTCATTGGCCACCTTTCATGCCATAATGTAGGATGCTCAGGGCAGATGAGTGGTATAAGGAAAGGAGGGGGAATTTGGTTCTGAAGATTACAAACCCTGCACTGAATAAGAGGAAGTGGCTCTTCTACAGCTTCTGTGTCCTTATAGTCCAAGGTTTTGTTACCAAGGAGCAGCCAGCTAAGAATTATATTAGTTGCTCTCTAATCCTATCCATGAGTTTAGGAGTACCCGTGGAAGGCTCAATTCATGGCAAGGAGGGGAAAACACATATTAACCCCCCATGTCCCCACCAGACACTGTCTTATCAGGATTTTTAAGCCTTGGAGCACAGTAAGATAATGAATATAACACATTTAAAAAGTCTTTATCAAATCTTCATGGTGAAAGTGGAAAGCTGTCTAATCATCATCATCTTAGAACTATAGAGCTGGAAGGGACCTTATTGATCAAGTCCAGCCCCTGTCAAGGAAGCAGAGTGGGGAATGGAACTCCTAGCCTCTGACTCAGAACTAGAAGCAGCAGCATGGGTTGATTGAAGAACGTGGTCTGAATGCCCATCTATCCTAGGTACGTAAATCAGTAAATCCTAGGTAAATCAGGGGGGTTGATTGAAGAACATGGTCTGAATGCCCATCTATCCTAGGTAAATCAGTAAATCCTAGGTAAATCAGGGAGTCTAGCTTTTTGGACTCTTGCAGCTTCTTGTCTGTTTCCAGTGGAGGGTGTAATGAGTTCACAGCCAATGTGGGCCAGGCAGTCCATCCATTAATGCTAGAAAGGTACATGAAAAGTACCCATGTTTTGCTTCCCAAGCATCCATGATTCTAATTCTAATTATGAAGCACAATAGCCTGACTGAGAACTACAACCAAGCTTAGCCTTTTTGAATTTTTTTCCCTTTCTCTAGTCCGAGCTATGTTGGGTTATAAGTTGCAGCATCCCCTGCCACCAAGATGTAGTTCAAGACATCTGAAGTGCTCAAGATTAGGGAAGACTGCTTTTGGAATATTATTACACTCTACTTAGGAATGCTGTGAGAGGAGTGTTTCAGACAGGCTAGAAAAAGCCAGTCATACTTTTCTAGGAATAATTAATGTTTCAAACCCTATGTACTTTTAGCTAGATATGCCTTGCTGAGGAAAAGAATTTGAGAGTTAAACTGCTGCTATTCATATAGAAAATTCAAACAGCATAAACAGGTTTGTGCTGGGTAAAGATTTTTTTTTACTTCTACCACAATTGATTTTTCTAAGGATGGGATGCAATTTTGTCATGGATAGAGTGACTGACTAGGACTCAGGAGACTTGGGTTCAAATTCCCACTTAGCCATGGAAATTCATGGGGAGTGGTGTAAATGGTAAAACCACTCCTTAAATATCTCACTTACCTTAAAAGCCCTTTTAGAGTCTCTGTGAGTCGATTCTGACTTGACGCCACATAACACATACAAGATTGGGGGCAGGCAGATATCAAAAAATCATGGTGGGTGCTAAAATGCTGTTCCCTCCATTCTTCCTGCTTCTGAAAATTTTATGAGGAATTGTACATGTTTACTTCAACCTGTATTTGTTGTTTTCAAAAACCAGATGCTTCAATAAGTCTAAAATATTGTGTCATGGCTGCACAGTTTGCCCTCAGAATGGCAAAATACACCTAGTTCCATATATAATGTAAAGACTGTGTTCTTGCTGGCTAAGTTACAGGTATTGGAAGTACTGTGAAGGTCAAATGTATCACCTTGGTTAAAGTGGAATTACATTTCTCCCTTTCTGTTCAAAAATTTGCCATATTCACTAACTAGCGCATCAGGAGACATGAGAACATGGGTTATTAAAACGCATCTTTATAGGGAATGTGAACATATGAAATTCTGTGTAAATGAGGATCTGCTGAGTGACATTTTATGTCTTGCCTTTCCTTTCCTGGAGGAGAAAAAGCTGCTGCAGTTCTATGTGTTCGTTATTTTTTTATAACCTTATTTGAAGAAATGCCCTGCCCTTTACATCTGTGTCTGTACAAAATTATGGCTAAGTCACTAGAGATTCAAACCTGCATTGCTACTGTCGGCCCTTAATAAAATCATGAGGGGTAATAAGGTCGTATATTTCATATCCAGCAGGTTATCCTTAGTGCGTTTGGATTACAGTTTTATAACCTATTATGTATTCTGCTTAAAGTTTGCGAAGTAAAACTGTCCAGTGTGAAAATAAGTGGCTTGGTTCCTTCCCAAGCATCCTGTCTGTTCCGGTATTTTAACTTGCCATGATTCCCCCTTGAAGACAGTGCATTGTGTTTTTCAGGGCTCCTTCATTAGGGCTGGATGCAGACATAATGCTAAACAGTAGCTAGTGGGTTTAGGATCTAAATAACTACTAAGATTCCACACAAATACTCAAACCGCAGTCCAGACGTATGAGGCGGCTATACATATCTAGTCAGCTTGATCAGGGGCAGCCCCAGTAGAGACCAGTGGCTGGAGATACTTGCAAGTGCTGCACTCCGCAACAGTAGCCATGCTAGATGTGGAGTCCCAGTCTAAAACATCTGGAGGGCACTGTACTAGGGGAGGCTGCACAAGAAAATAAGACATTCCTGGAGTCTATGGGCTCTGTAAGGTTCTGTTGCTGTCCCACAGTCTATGGAAGGCATGCTTAGGAATCTTGTAGCTGTCACTTCTTGACTTTGTTCCTGTTAGAACAGTTCCTAACTAATTTTGCTCTCATGAGGGCAACTGCAATAAGAGAGGCTGAAAAGTGTATGAGACTTAGGCTAGCTTGCCATCAGCGGCTGCCTTGCTTCCTATCAGTGTATACTACAGTGGTGCCTCGCATAGCGAGGTTAATCCGTTCCGGATTAACCTTCGCTATGCGAAAACATCGCTAAACGGGACTAAAAAAGCCATAGAAACGCATTGAACTTTGTTCAATGCGTTCCTATGGCTTGAAAACTCACCGTTAAGCGATGTTTCTTCCATAGCGCCGCCATTTTCGCGCCCTCGGTAAGCGAGGATCTATTTTGTTATATATGTAGGTATCAGATAGAGAATGCTCATCCAAATAGCAGGAGTCCTGCAGATAGAAACATAAAATCCAAGAACACTTTTCTGAGAAAGACATGAATTTTTACAGGCATTTTATTATATTTGTCATGACAGAGGGTGTCCCCAGCTGCCATTCACTCACAACCACTTTGAGCGTGTATGAGATGTAGATAGAATGATATTGGCTGCAAATTCACCCAGAACCTGGCTTCCAGCACAGCAGGCTAACTGTGGCTTAGCTGTGCCAATGAGGAAGCAAAACCCTGCAAATCCGTGTAATTTCACAAAGCACACCAGCCTTACAAGGTAGTACTGCCACCACATACACTTATTTCTCGGTAGGTAGCCAAGGAATCAAGGGTGGATTTAGTACCGGGGTCCTCAAGTCATTAACTAGGCCTTTATGTAGACTTAGAGAAGATCCTATATTTATTAAAGTAAACAAAAAAGAAAAAATTAAGTGAAAATATCAGAAAAGCCACAAAGGCAAAAATCCAATATGTAGTACAAGTTTGGAAATGAACAAGAAATCACAAAACTATAAAGCTAGTTCTCTAACTAATACATGAAAAGCCTCGTGGCGCAGTGGTTAAACTGCTGTACTGCAGCTGAAACTGCTCATGACCCAGGGTTCAATCCTGGTAGCCGGCTCAAGGTTGACTCAGCCTTCTATCCTTCCAAGGTCCATAAAATGAGTACCCAGCTTGCTGGGGGGGGGGATGTGTAGCCTGCATAATTAACTTGTAAACCACCCAGAGAGTGCTTGAAGCGCTATAGGGGGGTATATAAGCAGCACGCTTTGTTTTTGCATCCTATAGTAGAATTCAGCATAGATTCACAGTTTACACAGAGAGCATCTCATAATGACAGCACAGCATCCTCCTAAAAACTGAGCTGACCCCCCAAAACTCTTTAAAGCAGGGGTCTCTAACATGTGGCCCGGGGGCCATTTGCAGCCCATTGGATGATAGTTTGTGGTCCCCACCTTGCCTGCCCCCCCGAAGCGCCTACGCAGCCTCTGCTGTCAAGAATCAAAAAAAGCCTCGGCTCGCTCGCCGGCTCTCTCCCAAGATAGCGCCTTTTGCACCGTCCATCCAGAACTGCAGCCTGCCTGCCAGCCCGCCTGTTTGCCGGCGGGCAGGCTGCAGTTCCGGATGGAGGGTACAAGAGGCGCTGTCTTGGGGGAGAGCTGGTGAGTGAGGTGTGCTGCCAGCCCTTTTCCCCGAGCGCCCAAGCCACCGCTGAGCGATGCCTGAGAGTGGAGCTTGCTCCCAGCCCATCCTCTACGAGCGCTTCCAAGCCGCCAACAGCAGATGCCACCGCCACTACCTCTTCCAGGGAAGCGGCTCTCTGGCTCTCTTTCTCTCTCGGCACCCC